TATATATATATATATATATATATATATATATATATATATATATATATTTAATTCAAGTCTACTAGAATTTAATATTTTGATCTCAATATGTAGCTTTTTCCTTTTTAAAAATGAATGCTATCGGGACTGAAAAAGTCAAACTGTGCACCTCTAATGTACAGACAACACCCTCTAACTCTGATGGGACTTTCAGCACTTCTTGCAGACTGACTTTGTTTCCCATGTTTGTAACAGCACCTAGCTATAGCGTAGCTTATAGAGAACATTTAGTTGGCTTCTCTCAGTCCTGCGGTTGGCTTTTAAGCCAATGGAGAGAAGGTGTCCGCTACAGTTATTGAATCATGTGAAATCTGAGCATTAGACACTATATAGCACTGATATCGAAACCTGAAAGACTTCATACACATTCATCAAGGATGTAACAAGCTATAGTCTCAACTTAAAGGAAAACTAGAGGTATTCTATATCTTTGAGGTGCTTGCTAAGACATCTAAGTAGATAGATGTTTTAAAAAGGCTAATATGTCCTAAAACTCCTGTATGAGTATAACAAGCAATACTCATACAGGAATAAATAAAGTATTTGTTGGGGGTTATTTTCAGCTTTGGATCTGGTGCTCTGCTGTGTGTTTACAGCAGCGTGTGTGTGTGTGTGTGTGTGTGTGTGTGTGTGTGTGTGTGTGTGTGTGTTTTACTGAAAATAAACTAAAGTGCCCATGTTCACAGTAATGAAGGAACATGTCACTCAGTGGAACAATTTGCCTTATTGGAGTATTTTTAATAGTTTTTGGACAATAATTATACACAAATATATCACGAGACATTACCTGATGATTGGTATACTTTTGTTGTTGGTAATAAAGGGATTTGTTGACGGTGAGGAAAAATATCGAATATCACTAGACTTGTCCTTTAAAGTGCAGCTGATTGTAACGGACATATTTTATTTTCCGGGTGGAGAGCTGGATGGAAACGCGTCGTCCTTGAGGAGAAAGTCAGCTACAGGTGGAAAGAGGCTACTCATCTCGTGACGTCTGTGAGTCTGCTCGTTCTACACTTCATCTTGTGATATTCACAGCCTGCTGCTTTCATGAAGATGTGTGTGTGTGTGTGTGTGTGTGTGTGTGCGCGTGTGTGTGCGCCTTATTATCGCAGTCAGGTGGCTGGTGGAGGAGGAGGAGGAGGAGGAGGAGGAGGAGGAGGAGGAGATGGTATGGTTGATATGGGGAGAAAAGAACAACAGGAACAACTAAGGCTAGTCTCCTTACAAGAGGCTTGAAGCCATTCTACTTACCGTCGCCAGCCATGCCGACTGTTCGCTCTATTTGCAGAGCAGCCCCTCCCCTCTCTGATGCTATGATCTAACTGCAGCCTCCTCCCCCTTCATAGACACAGACACACACACACACACACTCTCTCCACGATCACATGCCTGCACACACAAACACACAGAGGGGTGCTTATACACCCACCAATCAGCATGCTGCTGGGCATGTCTCCACACTCTGTGTGTGTGTGTGTGTGTGTGTGTGTGTGTGTGTGTGTGTGTGTGT